AGGTATCTATCTCGCTGCTTTCCGAGTTAATTTCGTTGTGCTCTCGTTTTTCGTGATAATTTTTCCACGATCGATCCTGATGTGTAAAAGTAAATTTCTGGTAACTTTGCCAATAATTAATAAGTTAATTTGATTCATTAATCTAAATTTGTTTAATTTTACAGAATTAAAGACGAAAGAAGAAATCTAGTAAATTCATAATTGAAACACAATATATAAATGAACTTTTTTTAGTAATAATTCAGTTCATTTTTTCTGCAACATAAAATTTGAAATCTATCAGGATGAAATCATAAATGATTTATAAATCCATATAAATATTAATAAATTTATAGCCGAACACAACATGAGTAAGTAAAATTTTTCTAGTAATTTCTAATAATTTAGCTAGTAATTAATAATAATTAGTTATTTTCATTAACTTAAATTTTTTTAATTTCACAATATTATAATAAATTGTTTTTCAGAGATTTAAGAGATCAATTGAATTCTTAACCGAAAATGCTCTTGACAATATATTTTAAAACTTAATCACGAAATGGCACCACTTGAAAATTGTTTAACGAGTATTAAGAATATTCATTTCATAATTATTTTCATTGTTCAAATTTACCTTTCACCATTTCTCTTAAATTATTCGAGAAACAATAGATGTAATAAGACAATCACCCTCATCACGAACATGGATTAATAATTATTATCTAACAAGGATACTCATAAACGGATATCTTTCTTTGTCATTAATTATCTGCTCGTTAATGATCAATTACGAGCGTATCGTATTTTTCGTTGACAATAAAGCAAGATCGAAAAACGATGAAAAAGAAAGAAAATCATTTCTGGAAATCGAGACAGTCTCTACTAATCCCACGATAAATGCATCGATCGAATCGATGGATATGAATACTCACTCTTATTATTCGCCATTAATTGGCTGGTAATTAGCCATTGCTAATTGAGGTGTTCTTTCTCGACAAGCAAATAAAAGCTGACTCAAAAATGAAGTTAAAAAAGAGATGATAAAAATGAATTTCATGGAAATTAGTCTTTTTATCAATGATTGATGGTGGGATTGATAACTAATAAATGAAAATTTACATTAGGACATTGAATGTGTATTTTTTTTTTTTAATTGAAAGTGATATTTGAACATAATTAGAGAAATTATAATAATTATGTCAGATAGATGGAATAGATATGATAATTCAATCAAACAATTAGACCAAAACTAATTTTTAACAAAAGGAATAATTTAAAAGAATAACAATGGATTATATAAATAAAAATTATGATCCAGATTCTACTTTAATAATTTACTCTCATAGACTCTTGAGGAATGCATGGATAACATTTTATGATTAATTTAAAATCCACCTAAAATTAATCTTTTTCAAAAGTAATAATTTAACAGAATAATGTTGCATTATGTAAACCGAGATTGTGATTCAGATTTTACAGTATCCTTTCTAGTAGAATTTAAAGCGAATTCATGGATTTTCGAGCTGGTAGCCTACAATGAATTTACCTTCCCTAGCGAACGAATATTTAGAAGGCGGGTCACAGAGAAGAACAACACGAAATAGAGACACGATGCTCGTTGGAAATACTGAATAGTCTTTCCACGGTCGTCGAATAAGTCAACGTTTAACTCTTGTTATTTGGAAAGACATTTATACTTAGCAGTATCTCTTCCAATTTCATTTTAGATGCTCTTGTTTTACTTCACAAAATTAGTTTGACAAGTATCTTATTAAAATAAATTCTTTAAAACAAATTTAATTTAATTTCCGCTTTTTAAAATGTATTCACTATATTAAATCAATATATTTATTTTAGATATATTTACAAGAAAGATCCAAAAATATTTCCTGTTCTCAAATTTTCTAAAAATTACACTTTTTCATTCCTAAATTTTCATAATTTCTCTTAACATTTCAATTTCAATGTTTTTTTCTAGAATTTTTACAACTTACAATTGTTAAAATCTAGATACTCTGTATTCTAGAATTGTATGCTTCTTTTTCCAAGAATCACATAAATATTTCAATTCTAAAATTTTCCTTTTTTAAAAATCATCATTCTTTTATTTCATTCAAGCTTTCATAAGTTTCTTTACTCCAATATCTCTATTTCTACAATTCCTAGAACACATTACAAACTTTATTCTAAGATATTTAATTCTTCCAGGAACCACGTCTTACGATTTCACCCCTTCCATCTCATGTTCTCTTGCCAAAGTCAAAAAATCGTCTCGTCCAAGAACAACAGAACGCATCATTATTACGCTGAGTGGAAGGACGAAAGGCGCACGCGTGGTGATCGGCGTGCCTATGTGCACGAGTACACAAATAGCTCATTATGAACGAAGCCCGTACTTGGACCCGTCGCGCGCACTACGTAATTGGGGTTAATGATCGTGTGTACACCAGTGCCTCTCCTACTTGTACGCGAACCACCACTCGACAACTTGGCCCGGACCAAGCATTCCACTCTCTGGCCATTAGCAAGTGTAATGCCGGCCGTGGTAACACCTCGTTTCTTTGCCCATTTCCCTCATACTTCTACATTTTCTTTGGCCTCATCTTGACCGTTCAGGTTCTGCTCCAGGGAATTTTCTTTTTTAGCTTCCTTTTCTTTTTTCCTTTCTTGTGAAAGTGGAGAAATGGAAAAAGCTTTTGACATTTTAATGAGGGATTGAAGGATGGATGATTTGGAGAAAGAGATATCAAAATACTTTACAATTAGAAATTTGGTGGTAACTGATTAATTGTAATTTTCTTTTTTTTCTTTCTTGTGAAAGTGAAGAAATAGAAATGGATGGATTTTGATGTTTTAATAAGAGATTAAGGAATGGATAATTTAGAGAAAGAGATTAGAGCGATTAGAAATGCGGTAGTACTCAATTAACTATCGTGAAACGTGTTAATTATCTGAGGAAGCATATGCATGCCAAATTTTTGAGTATAATATAATCGAATTATGATAATTCAAATTTGAAAAGAAAAATACAATAATCCAGATAATTGCTATATACAGATTAAATTTCTATATGTAACAAATTTCTGAAAATAGTTTTAAAATAAATAAAGTGAACTTTGATAAGTATTTGAATAATAACTATTCTAGAATATGATAGTGATTCAAAATCTTTAACAGATACTATATTATATATGTATATATGTACTAAAGTATATGTATAATAAAACAATATATCTACATAAGAAAAATTCATCGAGTGGAATAAAATCTTGTCAATCCTTGGAATTGTAATGCTCGACTATATCGATACTCGCAAGTATATAACGAGAATGCATGACCGAGGACAACCGATCGAGGGAATGTCTCTATCGATAATGTCTTGATCGAGAGACCGGTTTTCTTTGCCAAGGTTCTTTGCCTACCTTCGAGATTATCGGTTAACTGTACTTGTCCCGTTAGTTCACCGTGATAACGGGAGATCGCAAAAGTGCTCGGTTCTAAGCGAAGAAGTAAGATTGATTGGAACTTACTTAGTCTTAATGGATCTAATTTTCAGCGAGGAATATTGGATCTACTCACCTACAACAGAAAAGAAAAGATATTCTTTATTAAATGGAAAATTTAAAGAAATGTAAAGATATATATTAGTAAGATCTTTATGCATTTATGAAAAATTTAAATGTACAGAAATTTGTAGAAGATATATATATATATATGCAAAATATGCAAAAATATATAAAATATATTATGATAGTAAGATGAAATAAAATGTTTAAGTTTCATACATTTAATTGAAATGATGAAAATGTGCATTTGCATAAGGATTTATAATTTAATATTAATATAGTTGAATAATTTTGTAAATGTCATTGCAATCTATCTTTTTTTGATGAAAATTTAATGATTTAGATAATCTTTTAAGATAAGGATCAGGACTATATATAAGTGATCATATATAACAAATTTGGAAACTGTTGTGAAACATATTATATAAATTTTTCATAGGAACAATTTAAAATTTCAATCAAAATATGTCCTTTAAAGGACAAATTTCATTATTCCAAATTTTACTAATAGATTGCAAATTAAAATTTTTTATAAAGTAGAAATATAATACATATCTTGCTTTGGATATTTCATGTCTATTTGCATATCATATGCATTCTGTAGATTTTTCTATATTTATTAAATTTTCCATAAATGCATAAATATTTGTATTCTAAAAAGAATTTTTGGATTAATCATTCAGTATAAAATGCATAAATATTTCGCACAAAAATAACAAAAAAGAAAAGTTATGAATATATATCTGATTCTATAATCCCGGTAGTGCATACTTTATAGAAATAGAGAAAGGAATGAAAAATATCAACGTGAAAATGTTAAAGAATATATAATTCAGCGAGGAATTTAAAAAGCATCTATATCCAGTGCATTAAACGATAAGTTTTCAATATTCGAACGATTAAAAGGGAAAACTGAACGATCGATAGGTAAAGGGAGAAGAAGTCGATGGTTAATGCGCACGACAACGTCGCAGTGAATATACGAATTGAAATTGAAACTGTTTTGTTCAAGGCTGTAAACTGGGAACATGTGGAATCTTATCGCACGAAACTCTTTGCATTCTCGATAAAATAGAATGGTGAGTTATAAACAGAATGGTCGATGTGAGATTATTCTCAGCGGACTTTCGAATTCGCGAAATTGTACTGTTCTTGCTCGATCGATAACTAGTGGAATTATGTGTGAATTGGCAGAGAGAAATTTGCGTAATTTCGTTATTGATCGCATCACAATATTCATATGAATCTGCTTTTGATTGTTTTTTTTTCTTTTACGATTAATTGATTATTGTATTTTTGATAGGAATTTTTGTGAAAAAGATGGTGACATGTTGCTGGTAAATTTTTGGGAAACAGTTGCTAGTAAATTTCTAGAGAATTGATTCTCGGTGAATTTTAAGGAAATTGTTGTCATTGAATTGTGAGAGTATCAAGTGTCAGTGAATATTTAGAAAATTGAAATTTTATATTTGAAAAGAAAGAAAAATGATTTATTTTAAATTTTATTTATATATAATATTTCTAATTAAACATAACAATAATAATAACGGTATCTGTAAAACGATCATAAATCACGATCGATGTATTTTTCCATGTCTCCACAAAGTTAGGTTAAAAGCCAGTATACTAATTTCTATCCTCTGGGCAATTACAAGCGATGAACTATAGCACTACGTGATTAATGCACATGTTAAACAAGATCACATTTTCCAATATTGACTAGATGATATCTGGAAAACATTCCATCCCACGACAAAATGATTTTCGACATTACGGTTTAAATGTCTAGTTCGTAAATAGAACAATTCATTTAAACAATTATAATACAAGTAATAATTTAAAATTTGTATATAAAAAAAATAATTTATACAAAACTACAAATTTATAACTACAAACCACAAAACTTTTTTATGAAATCGAACACGATTCGTTCATTTCTAGCAACAAGAAAGAATAAAAAATGTTGAAAAAGATCTATTCGCAACAGGGAAGCGAGTTACGATCAACTGACTCATGTCGTCGAATTAATCGGTAAACGAACGATAAAAGGCTTATCTAAAATTGCGAATGAAATCAGATTAACGAGCTCTGCGGGAGACATTGCGATCAATCCGCAGTTAGATTAAATAGGCTAGACATCCATTACCGGCGCGTCACGAGAAAAGGGGTGAGAAACGAAAAGGAGAATAGGAGACGATCCGTCTCGACGGCTTTAAACAGATAGGAAGTTCAAAACGGATATATTTTGGGAGAAACTACGTAAGTACTTCTAATTTTAGAGATATTAAAATTGTTTCTATCGAAAAATAATTTTTATATGTTTTTAGAAAGATAGATCGATTCTACGATTTTGTATCAACGAAAATTGTTTTTAATAAAAACATCGATGAGAAACGTTCGATGGTTTAATGATTTTAAGAGACTAATCGATTATTTTTCAAAATTTATTTTGTTTGAAATATATTTGTAGAGATATATTTTCTTTTATTATTTTTCAAAGGTGAAAAATTTATTCGTAAATTTTTTTTTTTAAAATATATAAATTTATTTTATTTTTTAAAGTGAAATATTTCGAAGAATAATCTGATTTAGGTTTTATTTGTTAAGGTAAAATAAACGATGCGTTGAGGATTTATAGTTTTTATAGAATTGTGGTATAACGTCATATGATTATTTAATATCGATTCAGGAAAAAAGTAATAGATTTTAAATAACGATTTTCGATAGTGATTTACGAGAGGTTTAAAGTTATAATAATAATCCTCGAAATATCATCACCTGTCTAAAAAACATATATTTCTATAAATTTTCACAATTACATTTTCTATTTCTTTTCTTATTCTATTACTAAATTAAATTGCTCATAAAATCATCAAGTATAAAGAAGTATCATCTCTCTTCAATTGAGACATCTATAAAATAAATCAATAAATTAATAATTTTCATCTGTAAACAATTCAAAAACAATTCTTTACAACTGAAATATCTATTAAAATTAGAGAAAACTTTAAAGCGCTGTAACTTCGAAAATACTTTCAATCAACAAATGAAAGATCGTCAGAAACGCAGAATCTTGACATTTAAAATGCACTTTTATTCATCAACACGATTTCCAATTCCGAAGATATCGTTGTGTAAAGAAAGAACTAATTTTTTAATCATTTATTATTTGCATCCTTGTTGGCCTCTCTCTTGCATTCGTCTCACTAATCTATTCCAAACTTTAAACTAGTGACAATTGTGATTCCAGGAAGACATACGCATTTCTAGGAAAAAATATAAGTCACTGATGATTCAATAATCTCTGCATCGTCTTAATCGCTATGGATATTTTAAATTCTTATATCTCGACAACTGATTAAGATATCGAGATGAAACAAAAAAAGACTTCAGTGGCCGTTTCTTCTATTTTCTCAGTGAGTTTTGATAATCAAATTTTCAATTTCTTTTCACGTAATTTTCGCATGAAAATTTTCATTCATCCATGCATTGTTCGATAGGATGCGATGCGAATAGGATATCATTAATGGATCATCGAGGGTGTATCGGACGTTCGCAAGAAGGACGACAACCGGGCGACAAACGGCCACGATGGATACGCGTGAGGACGCGATTAATCGATGTTAAGTGCGTTATAATGATGTCGCCGTCGGGCAAATTCGAGTCTCGTAAAATAGCTTGTCGGGAGACTCGTGGATTCTCCACGCGTATTCTGCCGAGGTCTCGACCAATAATTCAATGACGATTGATCCGTGCGTGCCATCGATGCCGCCAGAAAATCTAATACGCCAGTCAATCTTTCGCCTTTGGAGATTGATGAATTGGGATTTATCTTTGAATCCGAATATATTATCTCCAAGCCTATTTACGGAATTATTCAGTAATAAAATTACTGAAAAAAACAATAATAATTCGAGGTTTAAAATATGCTTGAAAATATTCTAAAAATCGAATTTCTCCTAACTATTTCAATAATAAGTTATTAATTAATAGATATGCATTATATGAAAAAAAAAAAAAACAAAATATCAAATATTCAATATTCGAATTTCTTTTAATTATATCTTTTAATCAATGATATTTTTTGAAACAAGAAAAGTTATTTTTTAAAAAATACAAAATCAAATGTGCTTAATTGGAATACTTTGCACGTATAACGAGGACATGTATTTACATGTGATTGAACACAACGATTTCAGAAAAGAGATAAACGAATGTTGTTAACGCGTGTTCTACACGAGCGTTACGATAATTTACCAGAGTCCCTTTCGTCATTATGATAATCAAACAGGAATGAACATGTCCCACTAATTAAATTGCCAACACGCGTAAGATGCACTTGGATATCGGTCATCGATTATCCGCGTATCGCGCAATTAATCTCGCACCATTATTAATTCCTTCGTAGCCAATGATCACCGCCCCCTCTTCTATGACACCTTGCATAACTTAATCTGACAATTCTATCCTTTATAGATCTTAAGAGGATAATCGGCTAACGAGTATAATTTTCATATCAAAAATTAATAAAATATATTTTTGTCATATTTTAAGAAGAATAAAATTGATTAAAGGAAAGGATATATATAAAATGTTAAAAGTAATATATTAAATTGAGAAAGAAATAATTAGTAGTTCTTCAACTTTTCTTGGTACATACAAAAGATCCTGAAAACATACTTGGTGTTCTATGTTCTTTAAAATAGGATTCAGTAATATTCTTCTTTTATGGTAGGTTTTTTAATATTTTTCTTTACCAATTTCTTTAATATCTAATCCTATTAACACATCCCATTCTTTTCTATTATCCTTCTTTCCCTTTCTTCTTCTATTTCAATTTCCTTCAAAGCAATAATACCTTGATATTTTCCTTTATAATAAAGTAGACTATAAATTTTCTTCTAACAGACTATATATTTAAACTAATATTTATACTTTTATATTTTCAGATTTTCTCCAAAAGTCTCCTGACACATCATATCTCTTTTCCTTTTTTTTCTTCTCCTTCCTATACTTTTTTCTCCCCTCTTTTGCTTCAATCCCCCCTTTCTTTCTTTCTTTCTTCCCTCCCTCCCCTTCAATCTCCATCTTCCCCTCCCCCTTCCTTTAACCCCTTTGCTCGCGGCTTAAATGGAAGCACGCTTGCACGTGGCACGAGTCAAACAGATGCGTTTTACGCGTAATTTAACCCAAGCCTCGTGAAAACGGTCGACGACGACACACAACCGTGTTTCCACGTCCTTTGTACGCCTTCCGCTGCTCTGGACGTCGACGCGACTTTGACTCCATGGAGGCGGACACGTAGACATCCCCTTATCCCCTTTGCGGCCAACAAAGCCACGAGATCCATAGGACTTCGGCCTGGATATACACGTATCTGCGGCTCTGATGGCTAGAGTCACGCGCCTCGAATAAAATACTATCCCGTCGAGACCGTTACTTCTACCACGTAACATTTCCAGCTTGTGTGTCCTTCCACCATGTTTTATTTATAAAGACCGAGGATTTTTCTCGAGGATCGGGAAGACGCCGAATGGAATGAGACTTAAGCTTGATTTGCTGGGAATCGAGATCTGGAATGGCGGTTTTACGCTCGTGCAACGGCGGATTTTTCGCCTGGTAATAATGGAAGAAACGAGGAGTGTCTCCTAGCTGAAAATTTATGGGTTCAAAATTATGGGAAAAATTGAAGTAATATTTGCTTGTTTTGATATTTTGTGTTTGATATTTGAAGTTTTTAATCGAAAGATATTTTACGAATGAATTAATATAAATGTATATTTTGTTTCAGAAATTCATTTTTGGGATATTGTTTTGAATTTACAACAAATAACGAATCGAAAATAATAAGTCATGTTCATGGAATTGTTTGATGATCAGAATAGACTCAAAGGAAAGATGGAACGTACAAACATAAATTGTCGAATAATAGGAGTGATTGACCGAGTAAAAAATCTTTTATTTTCTTGCTCCGTTTCTCTTATATTGCGAAATTCTTTCCTTCGTGAAAAATTCACGAAATCGCCTGGAAGTTTCAATCGACTGTTTCTCAATTCTTTAAGAATAGCATCGATAAAGAAAACATCTAAATTTGTGGAACAAGAACTATTTAGAATCAAAATGAAACGGAATATTCGATTATCAAAAGTCTCTGAAAAAAGTAATCAAATATTTTCCTTCACGAAGTAAAAATTTCGCAAGAATTTCGAATCGAGTATTCATCGAACGTATCATTTCTATTAAGTAGATATAATTCATCTTCATTTCAGAGCGGGCTAATGCTCCTTCCTTGATTCCAACAAGATATCCGGGACAGATGTTTGCCATCAATCAAAGTGTATGTAACGATTAATCCATCACGTATATCATCGCACTGCGAGAATTGTCGGGAAGATTATAAGAGACTTCTACACGCTTGAGACACAACTGCGAAGATCAAATTACCCCATCTTTCACGTATATCTCACGTTGTTTCTTATAATGGCGATGATAAAATTGGAAAATTGAACAATTTCGAAGAAGCTTTAAAAAGTTAAAAAAGATTGAAGAAATTTATTTTTATATCTCTTAAAAATTTGATAGATGATATAAATATTGAAAGTTGCATTAAGAATGCACTAAAAGAGCGAGATAAAAATAGTCCATAGCGTTGCTCAAGTTATACAGTCTTCAATATCTATAAAATCTTAGCAAGAGTTATAGAAAATCGAAGAGTTACAGCAATTTTTAGGAACTTTTGACAAATAATTGGAAATAAATCGGGGCGACGATATCTCTGGAGATAAAATTTACTGTGGACGAACTAAAGAAGGAAATATAAAAGAACGGAAGTTTGAGTCGTGTCGCTTAATTAAAAATCAAGATCGTGTCACGAGTGAAAGGATATCCCTTTCGGAATACTTGGCGCGAGTTGCGAACTTTTTACGGCTCGTGAAAATGAAACTAAGTTTTATATCGAAGTGAAGGCGTGCCTTCGTAAACTTGGTCAACCTTCGCGACAAAAACACTTGAACATTCGTGGAAAAAGAAAGGATAAGTATCATTATTTCATTAAAATATCATTACTCGTTAAAATTAATTTCTCAAAACGATATTACTTATAGGATGATTTGACGGACAACTATGCATTTTAATACATTCAATATCATACCAAAAATCTAACGAAATCCAAAATATGTTACACAATATATGCAACAGCACCATACAAAAGAAAATGAAGAATTCACGTCAACAGAATAGAAAATGTTGGTAACAAAAAATTAAACACGGCCAAAACGTTCAATCTCTAACAAACATCATATTTGATACGATATATCAGCTGTTCCAATAGTCGTACTACGTATTTCAAGAAGGTTTTCCTTTTTAAAAAAGTAGAGCCACTTGAACCTCCTTTCCGCACAAAGTAACTCGTTTCGAGTTGTTGGCAAATTGAAATCGATCGATTCCTCCCCCTTTTCTCCCGGTATTCCTTTTTACACCACACTCTGATTCAATTTCGAGAACAGATGCAATCGCTTAGAAGAAGGGACGGGACTAGGGGATGGGGTTGAGAAGCGGAGCAAAAAGTGGAAACTATTTTTCCGGGTGAACAACGAGCATGAAGGTTAGACGCTCTCTGGTGTAACCATTAACGCTCGATTAGAAACGTATCTTTCGTAAAATTATCCTTTCCGGCCTTGACTTTGGAGTACCGCCTCCGGATGAGCTCTGTTTGGCTCTGTTGGATACTTCTTGTCCATTCTTCTCGCCCATCCGGATACTTTTATTCGTTCAAGGATGCGTCACAAATCTTGGAAAAGAATTGTGAGAATCTGGTAATCTGTGGTTGGAATATTTATGATTGTGAAAATGGAATGGAGAATATAATAGAGTTTTTCTATTTTAGATTTTCATCGTTGGAAAACTATTGAAATAGAAAGTTTAAGTGATATTTAAAATTATCATTTGATAATATAAAGGAAAAAAGAAATTTTTCATGAAATTCTACGTTATTTAAGATTTGGAATTGATAATTAGAAGGTGGATTTATGGATTAGCTTCAATAATCTTAATCTTTAAGCCTAATGGATGACTTCAATCGAATTGGACGAGTTAGAGGACTAAATTTCGCTTCTAAATAATGTTCACAGGTAATCCCTGAGATTCTTAAATTCCAGATGTGTTTATCACACATGAATAAATCATCTTTTCTTATCTTCTTATAGATTGAATTCTAAAATGCTTATAAGAAGAAGAAATAATGAATCATCGTAGTCGAAAGTGAAAAACCAGAATATAATATAAAATATTTAAATGAGATACATTCATTTACACTCAATATTTACACTCAAAAGTTTTAATACAGGATTATAGTAATTCAATTAATAAATTGGAATAATTAGATTTACTATATTCCATATTATTATAATATTCATGGCTGAAGAAGAATCCATGGAAACATTAAAACATGAAGATCATCGATGAAGAAACGAATGTTTGAATCTAATTTCTCATAAATTTATCACAAAAACCTCGTCACAATTCAAATCTCCTTTTAAGCTTTTTAAGCAAGAAAATTATTCCAATAATCGAACGCATTTTTCCATCAAAGCAAAGGCCACGTGTCCATTGACCAATATCGAAACCTATCCCTAAATTCAACTAGGTTTCCAGGCCGGGCGTAATTCCGGCCTTCGGTATAATGAGAGTGGCCGTAATTTCGGAGGGTAAGCCGGCTTTCCATTTGCCAGGAACTCACTCTCTACCCACAATCTCCTTCGACCATGGTATCTCGCTGTCCGTTACGATTCGAAGAAAGGAACAGTGGATGGAACCGAACGCGAGTGATATCCAGAGACTATTGAATGACCTTAATCCAATTTCGATTGGACCTTCAACTAAGGTCCATAAAATCGGCTGCTGTCTCACACAAGTGGATGAAATTTGAGATAATGTGGCTCTGCCTATGATAAAACATGATGAAACATAATTGCAATTTTATTCCCTAATTTTTCTGTTTTCTAGTAAGTATATTTATCCTTTTAGAAATATCCTTTTAGAAATATATTAACAGGAATATTATATAGGAATAGTATAGTATTGTATCGAGATCTTCATGCCTATTATAAGAATTCTATAAATATATTAATATTATTAGATAGAAATATATGATGTCTATTGAATATAATATGTAAAAATTGAAAAAAAAAACGAGATAATCAAATGAGATTCAAATCCATATCTGTCAAGTCCATGAGATAAAATTCTATCTCTTATGACGCCCTTTAACTTTCTTGTTCTTATTCATTTTTATTTATAATTGGCATGGAGATTTCGATATTATAATATTATATGATATTATAATTCTATATTTTAATATATAGTGTATCTACTTTTCTAGGTAAGGTATCTAGTATTCAATAAAAAACATATAGAATTGGGCATACAAAAATATTTTTTAAAACATATTTATTAAATTATAATCAAATTTAATAAAAAAAGATAGAATATTAATATGCAAAAATCTAAAAGAATATATATATACTATATGCGAAAAGGGCATAAATCGTATCCAAAACGAATTACAGATTATAATAATTAAAGGAATGGATCTTCATTTCATTTCTTTCAATTCATGAAAATTTGAATTCATATAAATATTCGCAGTCCAGACGCTTCAATTTAACTATAAATATGTCGCTCACGTTTTCGAATATCGTTTTCCAATTCACCAAGAGCGGACAGTTTCATGGACAGCTGCCCAGGATCCCATCCCTAAATCTTTAAAATGGTTTCAGCCACATCATCCTCCGCCTTCCTCCTCCAGCATTACCATACTGGAACACACGCAAAAATTCCGACCTCGAGGCAGAAGAAGAACGCGTCAGACGTGAGAAACATCTCTCGAGGCCCCCTCGGGTGCTGGCACAAGAAGATATTATCGATAAAAGGAGTCTTTGGTGGCGCGTTTCCAATGTAAAAGCGGGCCGAATCCGCTCGTGTTCGCGCATATAAACCCCGTGTACGTGTCGTCACAATATATATGATGGATCCATCGTCTCCTTCGTGTTCCTTTCCTAGGCAACAACCCCCTTAACCTACTTATCCAACAAGAGTGAGTATGACTCGAGCCGATTTCAAAATTTGGCAAAATTTCTCTATAAGCATGATTGTAATTGGTAATTTAGATGATAATATATTGTTAACAAGTATTTGGATAGTTTACAAACTTATTGTTCTTAAAATCGATGCAATTTTATTTGAAATAATTGTATAATCATGATTATATGGGATTATTTTAAAGGTTCTTTCATATCCGTTAATTAAATTTTTTTGAAAATTACTTTATAGAAAGTTGAAAAAATTCAAAGGAGCTCCAGATATTAAAAAAATTTTATAGATAACTAAAACTATGGATTTAAAAATTGAAGGCTTCTCTTTACTTAATTTTAAAAGACTGTTTGCAATTCTTTAGCATCTCGTTAATCCAATAAAATAAAAAATTGGTGTCACTCTGTAGAATGTTTCTTCAATGATCAATTTTATCAAATATTTAATTTAAAAAATAATTACAACAAGATCAATTGTCGATCAATTCTCTCTATCTTCATGGATAAGTTCAGCTGGGTGATTAGCATAGGTGTTTGAACAATCATTGAACTTAGTTCAATAAAACAGGATTTAGCTGTGGCCATCTTTGCGAACAGCGTTAAATGAAGCGATACCATTTAACGCCGCGTTTGCTGCAGCACTGGGACAATTTTGGGTTAAATGATGGTCCGATGCGGCCGTTCTAAATGTCCGCTGCAATTTCTACTAATATCGTTCCACTTGCACTATTCGTAGTGTGCTGTGGTTTTATCAAGAAATACAATCAGAAATCAAACATTTCAATAAAATAAGTAATACTGCATTTTAACACAATCGTGCTTATTGATCAACTACGATTTCTAAAAGAACTCGCTATATTTCATTATAAATACTTTATTTTGAATAATAATTATGAATAATTATTTTTTTGGAAAATATTTTTAAAATTAAACTTTTAAATTAATGTTAAATTTTTACAGGAAAGTTCAATTTTGTAAAATTGATCAATAATATTAGACTAATAGTAATTGAGAACACAAGAGCTAAGTTGCTCTGTTAAATATATTTAAAGTACATATTTATTCTCGATAAAATAAAATAATAGGTACTCTGAACATTCGTATGATTATAATTAATAGAAAGAGAGAGAGAATTTCTTAATGTAAGAGATACAATATTTAGTCAGAATAAAATCGCATATTATATATTATAAGAATAAAAATCATACAAGAAGTGATAAATAGATATCATCTCGAGTTAACTTATAATTTCAGTCTCAATTTTTACGATTATTAAATAAAAACAATTATATCGTATACCTCGGTATTAGAACACTGGGAATCCAAAGTAACCAAAGAAATTGCATAAAAGTATATTTCCTTTAAAGTAAAGATAAATCCACAGAGAGAGGAAACACGACAGAGAGGAATTTTCCCGATCTCATTCCGTTTTCCTGTACGTTGCCACCTAACACAATTCAAACAAAGATACAATCGTCGAAGACCCACAACCTTCTCACTCCACGTACTACATTCTTCTTTACGGGCGTCTTTTCTCCCCTCTGGCATTTTTCTTCTATCTCTTTTGTGGTCTAACAGATCTCTAATTGAAAAATATCTCTAGTCTCTTTGACTCTATCCTATAGCCTTTCATTCGCGCCGAATGTGGTCACGAAACGACTCTCTAAGAAAGTATACACGTAATATCCCGCCGCATTGGGATAAGGTTATGCGCGCGCAGCGGGGGTGGAGAGTGGGGAGAACAGACTCGTAAACTCGAAGCCGTGTTGCTTGGCCTAATTAGGAGCCGTTGCATGCCTCAAAGCGACGATAGTGGGGGACGGAGGACGCACAAAGCCGACTAGGATGCACTTCGACAAAATGTCCCTAGGAGAAATTTTTCATTACGAGTTTGAAATCGCCTCCAACGCACATTTGTTACCGCACATGATCTCTCCTTTTCTTTTTTAATATTGTCCTATTTCGAATAGACTTCGTTAAAATCATGGTCAACATCTGGTTACTTTTTGATTATTATCGATTATTATTATATGATCGTAAGAGATTTGTCTTTTGATTTATTTAAATTCTTTATGAAAAATATTTTAAGATCATATAGTTCAAAAAATATTAGAAATAATAAGAGAAATTTTTCTTAAGGATGTCTAGCAATTTCTTATACATTTTCAGTAATAATTCTAATGATGCTTGTACTATATATGTACAGTTTTTAAGCCATATCGATTAAAAAAAATATATTCCAACGTATTAACAATGCGATCCAACATCTCGAATAAATTCCTCAGTAAAAAATTTGAAATAAAATCCCTAGTAAATACAACTTCTATTCACGAATCCCAAGCATCACAATATACCTATATTTTTATGTTTAGAGAAACTCGTTCTTTTATATTTCGTACACAATATCTCATATACGTGAAATGTTCCATTACTTTCTTACATAATATTCGTATGGAAGATATTAAAGCACCGATATTCTATGCTTCTTTTATTGTACGACGTGATATTTACGATTTGCATGGTATCTTTAAAATCCCTATACAAACGTTTCGAACAAAGACACTAGAAAGTATCGTTTCCTATACGAATATCTTTCTCGATTTTCGAGATATAAAAGAAGACAGTAATTCAGTAGTGACGTTATTATGGAGATAAGAATAGAAACATTATCCTTGACCATCATAAAAATCTATAATATCCTCATCTCCTTACTGACTATTTCATCTCCGAATATATATTCAAACTGTCATTCGTAAATTAAAAGCGTAGTATCAATTTAAGAATTTAATTTAAGAAGTTCGACAATGCAGAAACGAGAGATCCATGGAAACGGTAAGCCCATACCATATTGGAAAAGTCAATACTTGAGAAAAAGTATTTGAATTGCACGATACCATTGAGATGGCGACTACTCGACGAGAATAAATTACATTGGTTGGTACTCCTTATCAAAAACCACTAAATCCTAACCAACTTCACTCGCGATATTTTCCAATCGTTTACATACGAGAACAATGACGCCAAGTTTATGGATAAAGCGATCGCCTAACTAATATTGCATCCGATTATTTTCGAGTTTCTCTTGAATTATTATCACGGACACTCGATTTTTCTATTCTCATCAAGTAAATTGGAAAATATGTCGACTCTTCGTCAAGGATTCAAAGAATTTTAATTTTATAATTGTTTTCTTTGTTTGTTCTAGATTAACTCTGATTTAATATTTATATATATTTTTTATTTTTAATTTGTTTTATTAGTATTGAAATATTATATCAGAATGTGATTTAAAAATTGTAGGAAAACTAGTGCTATTTTTTTCATTTCCTTGAAATTTCGATTATTCCATATTTTCTACCAATGTTTGTAAAATAAGAATAAAATTCTCAATTAAATAAACGAAAAATAAAATTATATGGAATAGAAGAACAAATTTTAATTAAAGTAATAAAAATTGCATGCTTTGGAACAGCGTTAAGCAAATGATATCGCAATCTTCCAAAACTCTGGCGCATTATTTGAACGATCCAATTAAATGAAAACCGTGGAAAGACGATAGCAGAAAGTTCGATGTCTGGTAGATGTTAATCTCGCAAGAAACGAGAATTGGCCATTTCTTTAAATGTTTTATTCGAATTAAACTTCTTTCGTATATCCTTAAATATATTTTTTGTCTCGTCGACTTTCTTCAGGATTTGAAAATAAAATTTAATTAATCTTTAGAGGATTAGAAAAAACAGATTTAAATATCAAGATGAAAATTATAAAAAAAATAATATAAAAATATTAATTGAGTCTTATCTTTCAAATTACAGGTTATTTAACTTTGTATTACGAACGCCGGTATGCTAGCAACTAAATTGGAACACTCAGTGGTAAATATATAATTAAATAAATAAAATATAGCCAGTCACAAATTTGTTATAAATATATGAAAATTATGAAATAATTATATTTATTTCACAGATTTGGCAGATATTTAAATATATGGAAGAATATTATTCTTCCATAATTTTATAAAATATTATCATATTTTAGTGAAAAAATATAAAGTATACTAAAAATGGTGTACTAAAAAGAAACAAATGAAATTTAAATTTAATGATTAAAATAAAATAACAAATAAATAATAAATAAATAGATAAAGAGATATAAATTATACACTAGAAATAGGAATACCAGAAAAACGAATGCAATTTATCGTTTACAGGTTTTTTAATAAAAGTTTTATTTAAAAATATATCCTACAATTTTAGCAGGAATGTTCTAAGTATACGTACAAGTTTTTGTAAATCTATTATTTACGATACTTTCATTTATGACATTCCGTATATTATCCTTCCAAAGCTTAATAGTAATTCTCGAACAAATTTAATTCGAACTCACAAAATAATAAATAAAACGTTTCATTGGAAAGAAAAAGTTGAAAAAGTTGAATAGGGGTTAGGCGAGAGAAGAAAAATGGATTTGCAGCTGCGAATCGTGGGATGGCCGATAGGAAAAGCGGGTTACACCACTTTTTACGGGGCTTTTCCATTTGCGGTGGTCGCGGTTGCGGGATCAGACCCCCCAATGGGAACGTTGTATCGTCCGGTTAACTTCCCCTGAGCCAATTGGATATTCGAGTACGGCCTGGTATTTACGACCCCCTAAAATCGAACCATGGCGTTATCACGAATCGCCTCGAGCTTTTAGGAGAGAATGGTATATAGTGATTGAAGATCTTGAGTAAGATTGCATTGTGATTTGTTACTTGGTAGATATACAGAGTGTTGATATATTCGTGGAATACTTTTGATACTTTTGGATCCAATTCTTCAAGCGTATGTAATTTTTAACATTTAGGATTAATATTCTAATAGAATATATTTTTCTTAAAGAATATATTTTAGTTTTTAATCCTTCAAGTGTTTGTTTAATTTGTAAACTTGATTTTCCAAATTTATTTTGGCTTCAAGAATTTTTTAAAAAATTTGTTTTAAAAATGATTCTCTAAAATCCTGCAAATATATTAACATTTTATATTTTCATAACTCTAAATCAAATAGTTTTTTTTTTAAAACAAAATTAGTTAATTTGAAAATTGATAAAATTTATTGATTTTTTTAAAATGATTATTTTTATGAATTTTTTTTTCAATCATTTCTTCTGAATTTATTATTCAATGAAAAAGTTAATCGTATCATGTATAAGATTTGGCTTGAAATTAAACTTTGAAACTTAAAGAAACTTTTCTTTACTTAATCTTAACTATCTCTTAGAGTAAAGAAAATGATATTGAACGGTCAATTGATTTTAGACATGGGCTCTTTATCTCAATTACACTTTCCGCAAGACATTTCGAGAATTTTACTTTGTAAATTTTATTTCTTTGATCATAAATGTATATTATTCTTTCATTATAATTTTGTGTTGTTTTTATGTTTAATTTTTAAAGATAACTTGCATTACTTTGCCATTTTCTCAAATTTAAATTAATATAATTTTTCAACAACCTAAAATTAGGAAGGAAAAAACAATTAAAATTCACAAATTGTGAATGTTAATTACTAATATCTAATGTAGTCAAATATTTTTATAACTAACTTTACATTTTATTTTTCAGAAAAAAAAAGAATAAACTTGATTTAGCCAGAAATAGAGACAGAAAGTTAAAATAATAATGCAAATTTGAAAAAGAAAAAAGTAGCAGAGTTAAAATTTCATGAATTGAAAGTCTGACTCTTCAGAAAACAAGCAATGCGAAACAAGGTAACGTATGTTTCTTAAGAAAAGAAATTACTTCAGGAATATGAAACATTTGGTATATACAGTATCCTAGAATGAGATTTGGTTTGTTGACAATTGAGAGAGAAAAAGAGAGAGAGAGAGAGAGAGAGAGAAAGGGAGGAGGAGGAGGAGGAGGAGGAGGAGGAGAAGGAGGAAAAAGCAAGCAACTTTGACGCAAACAACTTTTTACCGGAATATCAAGGCGAAGAAGTAGTTCAAGATGAAAGCAAATGGAACAACCGCGGTCTCGCGGTTTCATATGAAACTTCTAGAGCGGCCAACTTTTCTCTGATCGATGAAAAAGAAAAGAAAAAATAATATGTATCGTTTGAAGGATATGTATCATTAAATTAAAACAAGATTTCCTCTCCTTTCCAATAAATGGATGTATTTACATGTTTAAGAGAATATTTCGATCTGGAAAAGAAAAATTGTTTACTTAACGTAATTTATCTCGTTTCTTGTGAATATGAATTAATAAAAGAATTATCAAAAAATGATGAAATAAATAATAATATATTAATAAACAAATATAATAACATAATTTCAATCATATATAACATTCATCAACATAGAATATATAAAAAATATGAACAACAATAAATATAGTAACCTAACCTAAATTTTATTTCAATAAAAATATATTACTAAGAATATCAAGCATCATTCATACAAACAAAATATTTTGATTTATCCAATCTAAGACTTTTGTATAGCGTTATAGAAGATATCTGTGTCCAGGAAGTTCCAGAAGCGAATAAGGAACGCCTATCACGCGGCATCAGCGTCGTCGAACTCGGATATTCAATAAGGAAACCGTCGTGATTCGTAATGCCGCTCTCCTCGGCTGAACGTGTCGCGAATAACGCGCAGATGAAATATCCTCGCAAGTTCTCTTCTAAATATGAATGTAAAGCCGAATGTAACTCGGAGTATCTCTCTCAGATGTCTTAAAAACTGAGAATCGAGTGAATACGACGGGTTTCCGTGGTATTCAGAATTTCATCTCGTTTCTCGCGAAATATCGTATCGAAAGGGATTCCTTTCATTTCTGAGGGAGTTGTAAATTTTCATATACCAAAGAAAAGATGAATATTCTCTGGATAAAAGGAATGTTTCGTTAATATTCTTTATCACAGTGAAAAGAGTGGAATGTTTCACGGACGATTAATTAATTTTCACTAATACCAATTAAAACGTGTATATCAAAGATATAAATGAAATGTCTTTTCTCCAATGAAACAATCTTTCTTGAGAACTGACTTTCTCCATTTATGTAAGGTAATGAATGATTCGAGGAAATGGAAGTACAACGAAGAAAATAATTTGATCACCTTGAATACTTTATTTGGTTTTGATTTAAAAAATTTGAAAAGAATCGAATCTGATGAAATGATAATCTGATAAAGTATATCGTTTTTTAAATTGAGGAAATTTCCATTAAATTTTATTAAATCACTTCCATTAAATCACTGTAATATTATTATAAATTATACTATATCTACCAATTTAATATATTTTTTGTGCTTCGACATCCGGTATTTTTACGCGAGAGACATCCTCTTCCTCGTTGCATGCGGAAGAGGAAACTGGAAAGTAAGCCTTTATTCGAGCCAAGGTTAATAAATAAATAGACGATGGAACGCGCAAAAAGAATGCACGATCAAAGATGATCATTTGCAATCAGTATTCAAACATATTTGTGGAACTTCCGTCGTCATCCTTAAATTATATGAATATTACTTCGTTCTTTCGATCAATGATTTTTCGAAGGCGATGTAATATTTTAAAGTAGAAGAAAAACAGTTGAATAAATTAAAAATTCTTTTCTCTTTTAATCTTTATAACGTAGGATCTATCATTGAAGCTACATTGATCACGGGCTATTGTTGCTAAATTCATGTTGCATACAACGTTGGAAAAGAAGATTTCATTTTTTATCGACATAACAGAAAATCGAAAACCTACTAGTAGAGAATATAGACATATTCAGCTGATTAATAATTTTTGTTGTGGTGACATAAGATTATAAAATTGTATATAAATTATTTCTCTTATTTGCAAGAAATGCAACAAATGACGGATTCAAATTCTTCGGTGTTATGCTTGGATAAGTGATAGATTTAGAATATAGTTATAATAGGTTAGGTTACTAATAGACAGCAATAATATTTAATAAGCAGCAATATGATTATCAATAAGAAATGGAAATGAAAAAAAAAATAGGAATCTAATCATGAGTGAAAATAATATGCAATCTTGTCTCATAAGATTCGTTTATTTGCATGTAAAGCTTCAACTAATGATCAAACAGCAGTTGAAAATAACAAATTCTATTTTATGCGAAGGAAAATCTAGAAGAGAAAAAAAAAGATATAGTATAATCAGTGATTTGAAATAATCAATTTAATGAATAGATTATCTCTTGAGAGAAATAAAGAAAAAGTTGGTTATGTTCACTATGAAATTTGATGAAATGCTAGGTTAAAATTGAACGAGGCCAAAATCCTGTAAAAGGATTCGTCCAACTTTTCGCGGCCAATTGCGGGGAATTAGGGTGAACGAGTGATGATATAGATATATAGAAGAGGAAATTTGAGCGGATTAGAGGAAATTAGGGGATCAAGAAGAAGAGAGAGAATTATATAGGCATGGTGAAGGATCTCGTGATCAATGCAAGTACAAAAGACGAGATATTCGAGGAATATTAAATTTGCCTGGTAAGAAGGTTGACATATTATACGATATGCTAGTAGAAGTGAAGCTTGATAAATCGTTGTTGAGAAACTCATCATTTATTATACTTTCAGCCATCTTCAGTAAAATAAATCTAATAATATAGAGGATGAAGCATATCAGGATTAAATAAATTTCTATTAAATAAATTTATTATTTCATAATACAATCTCTCTTTGAATCTATTATGTTTTATATATTTATCTAATAATATTTAAATCAATACAATATACAATAGTAGTTGAATAATTATGATTTATGGTGTAAGTAATCTTTATCAATCATTTTTTTTAATACATTATGAAACTTATTAATATTTTTATTTTAATTTTTAGCTTTCTTTTTTTTCATTCATCTTTTTTTTTATATTTAACAAAATATATGATTTTAATATTAAATTTCAATATTAAATTCTATAAGTTTGAGATATTATCCAACTTTTACCATAAAATGAATCTTTTATACTAAATTTCATTTAAATCTATTCACATCTCAATTCATGTTCAAATTCATCACTAGGCAACTAGAATCTTGCCTTTTAGTTTATTCAATAATATCCGCATTTACGAACCTGCGAGATTAGTCGCGAAATTCCAAAAGGACCATCGGCAACCAAAGAGTTTCATCTCGCGTTCCTTCATGCCTGAGGCTCGCTCAAACGATCCTCTGGGTCTGGCTCGTGCTGATTCCCAAAATCAGGCATCGGTTGGACGCTCCTCCGTAATCCAAACGGCATTCACGTAACCACAATTTCCTCTGAAAATAGCAGACCGGTTCCGCCTCTCCCCTTGCAAGATGTAATCCAAACCGTGGATTTTAGTTGGTGGATGCGTCAGAAATCTCGCGAAGCACGATAACACCGCATTTCTGTTCACTTAAGCGGATCATTTCTGCACGGTTAGAGGAAGGCCAACGTTTCATCTTCAAGCAAGCGAAAATCGTGATCGATGCCTTCGAGGTGAATTCATTTAATGGGATTAATTCGAATCTGGTGAGATGAAATTTTTTTTCTTTTAAAAAGCCAATTGAAATGTTCGATTTTACGTAAGATATTCGTGGTTTCGAGGCCCAGATTTGATTAAAAATAAGTGTTTATTGGAAAGAAGATAAAAGAAAGGATGATAAAAAAAACATGAAATTTGAACAATAAAATATAATTTGTCAAGAAAATTATGTTAAAATATTTAAATATTGAAAATATAAATTAAATTTTTTAATAAATAAAAATAACGAAATAATAATTTCTTAAAGAAACTTCAATCAAAATTTGAATTATATCTTCTACTTTTTATTTGAATGAAAATAATAGTAGCTATTAAAAATAGAACAAGAGATACAATTATAACTTCCAAATATTAAATCAAAGAATTGTACTGTGAATTTCAAATTCACAATTCTTCGATTCTCTATCTTCTCTTCACTTTAAAAGATTCTTCCAAGAGCTTTACGTCTCATAAACCAAATATGTACTTTATCTTATGTGATTTCAATTCACAGAATGAAGAAGCCATTGTCATAAAGCTACCAGCTTGAGATTCCAGATATTTGAAAAGATCCAAATGTGAATGGCGCTCGGTCAATTGGTAGATCGCAATAATTGGAATCGGCATTAGGATTCGACAGGCTAATAGCTCGGCTGCCGAGATACGAGCTACAATACGGTTTATTGGCACAAGGGCGAACAGCACCGTTCATATCGAGTTTCTGCAACACCGGCGACAATATTTGTAGTCGAGTCAGCTGCGCCTCTCGAATAACTCCTGTCCCATGTGTTCCGCGCGCGAACACGCGCGCCAGCTATGCACCATGACGAACGTGCAATCATTTTAATAGAACTGATACATATGATCGATGATCAAGATATGACGAGTGTCATGGGAATCGAATTTTGATTGGAACATTAAATATATTGATGTATCGAATATATTTTGAGAGAAAGAACGATTAAAATAAGATAATTAAGATCCAAAGTTTGAAAAAAAAAAGCGAAGTGAGATCAGTATGATAAGAGTTCAAAATAGATTTTTCTTAAAAATTTAACATTGTAAGTAATATTGAAAATATTAATATAAAGATCATTCAAAATAATCAAAATTATTGAATAAGCCAGATATTGAATAATTTTTTTTTTTTTTTCAGTATTTAAAGGTTTCTTCCTCGTCAACGCAAATACAATTCAATTTATTATAATTCATCTTCTCTAATTAAATTTTCTCTAAAATTTAACCACTTTCAATTTCCATTACATCAAGAATTCATTATCTGCAAACTATTTCACTTTGTCATTCTCTTTGTCGACATCTGTTCAAGAAAATCTCATATCTTGGAACGTGTTTTTCGCTAACCACAGGTAGATTAGATATCGGTTCGTACGAGGCTGTTGAACCGTAGCTCGCGTTCTCCACTGTCTCTACTGTATTATGCAAATGCACGTAGCAACGTTGCAGCCAGGCAAGTGGTTAATAATACATCTGTGAGTAATAGGCCACGCTAGTTTCCGTTTACCTGGTTGGCCAAGATTAAGGGCTTTCAGTCGAGGACACGCTCGATAGATTCGGGCTTTCTTCGAGGGGAAGTCGCCATGCCCCCTCCTTGCCTACGTTCCCAGTTTGATTATGGATCATGATTGAAATCGAATCGAGATTGCGACTACAAATTTACAAGTGCGCACAGGATAATTTGGATAACGAGGCTCAAGTTGAATTGGATTGATATTACGTAGGAATTTGAAGTTCTTAAGTTCGTTGTTTTGTATGAAATTGATAGGAATAGTTCAATTTTATTTAAAAGAAAAAAATTAAAAAATAAGAAAAATTAAATCTGCAGAGACTAGCAAGGTGTTTATGATTCTTAAAAGAGTTTATTGTTCAAAGATTTATGGGAGAATTTATACCTGAAATTTAATGCTCCTTACTAACGAGTGATTCTAATAATGTTTCCTTTTATTACTTCCGCGCGCTATTTTTAAGTATGCGCTCAGATCTTGGATAGTAAACCACTTCCTCCGGCCCATATCTCTACTTCAATAACCGTAAATTTTGATTGTCTTTGCGTGACAGATACTTCACTTGACTATTCTCTCACGTGGAAAATCATCCGTTTTGCAAGTTCGTCGCGTCCACGAGATCCAATAGTAAAATTATTTTTCTTATGTTTGAAAAAATTGACATCAAAATTAAAAGTTAAGAAAATTCAACGAAATAGAATCCACTCTGGCTACAATTATTGAATATAAAACTCAATAATTTTCGAAATTTTCTATGTCAACAAAGATTGACGCCAAAAGATCCAAGAAAATAAAAATTTATTTTATACGTACATTCAAAACATTTAAATTTTCTGAGAAATAATTTTCGAAATTTCTTTTATCTAGATGGCTCGAGAGTTTAAAAAAAATTCAGGAAAATATTCCATGAGAAAGAGAAAAGTAAATAAGAAACTGCTCGGAATACATCAAACAAAATAGAGCATCCCAGTGGCACGATATAAAATTTCCAACGTGGTCAGGATTGATGATCCGGCAATATGTCTCTCGTGAAACACGAGGCACCGTGTTCCACGAGCTACGTTTCCAGAGTAAGTGGTCGAGATGAAAGCTGGGCAAAGGCGTCAGGTGCGATCAACCGTTTTCAATAAGTTATACCCGACCGTCCACCCTCCATCGATCCTCGAGATCACCGTGTCAGCATGAGGATCACTTCCGCACGATTTTTGCGTGCTGGATTTTATGATATATCTAGTAAGTTTCAAATTTTAACACTAGAATTGCGAATCTATAATATGTAACTAGATATAGTAATATATCTAGATGTGTATTATATTATAGATTAAAATAAAATATTTTATTGTCAATATATTTGTGGAAAATCTTTGAAGAATCTATTTCAGAGATTAAAAAAAGAAATAAGTAAAGAGGCTTATTTATTAAATTATAAATATATATATAATCAACTTTTATGTTTGTATTAGAATTGACTGTCCAAAAGTGTTAAATACATTAACATATATAATTATATTTTTGTCTTATTAAAAAGCAATATTAATTTTATCGAAAGTATTTGGACAATTTCAATAATTGCAAAAATCTAAAATCAATTTGATTCGATTCGATTGATTTGATAATTCTAGTGTTAAATATAAAGTTCATAGATCTATATCGATTGGAAATTTCTGATTTTGAGAATCTTTTTTGATGAATTTTATGATTTTAGGTTTGGATTGGATTTGCTATTGGAAATGCTTCTGAGAATTTTGTCGATAGTCTTTGATGTTAAATCAATGTAAAATTTTTGAGAATTTTTTTATAGCTTTGATATTGGGAATTTTTGAAAAATGAAAAATTTCTAAAAATTGGAAGATTCAACTTAATTTTGCTACTAAATGTATCGAAAATATTTATAAATTTTTGAAAATATTTCCAATAATTCTAAAAATTGAGATTTGAAATTTTACGTTATCTTTTATCAATAATTTCTGAAAATCGAATCAATTGACAATCTTTTAAAATTGTTTCTGATAAAAATTTTATTTTTGAATCTATTAAAAATTTATTTTTAGATTTTTCCTATCTGTGGAAAAATTTCTAAATTATGGTAATCTTTACAATTTAATTTTTATTGCGCTAATCTTATCAAAAGATTTTGAAAAATCTATGACTAACCACGCGTGAACAAATGTCGTAAACATAGAAAACACTGTACACGTTAGCCGATTCTATCGTCAACAGCGATAAATCAATATTTCATATCGATAACTGTAATGATACTTTGTGGATGGCCTTGCTGTAAAATTCGAAAGCAATTTAATAGCAATTAAAACAAACGAGGAATGAACGGTTGAATAATTTAACGAGTGATAAAACGTTTGTTAAGGCCAATTATCGATGTACATTAACACATACCGATGATCGTGCAACATATAAACCAGTGAATAGATTAACAGGAAGCCATTGACAACAAAGTTTCCTTTTGATAAACAATGATCTCATTTCGCTATCGCTCGAAGAAATTCAATAGATGATTTCATCTAAACGATAATATTGTAATGTGAAGCATAAGTAGAAACAATGACAATTGATAGATAGATAAGAATGCTTAGAAGTTACTGAAATTAAAAGTTAAATAATACTAAGAATTTTTAGCGTATAGACGTAAGAACTATTTGAATAATTTGACTAATTGGATGTAGACAAAAACAATATAAATAATATACTTTGACAATGGATAATTGGATATAGCTTAAAAATTATTGAAGTCAAAGTTAAATATCAAAACTCTTTATATATAAATAATTTGATTACTTATAATTGAATATTAATACAATAATACAAGTTACATTTTTTGAAAACTTGATAGATTAATATGTTAATAAAAGCTATAACTTTGAGATATTAAAGAAAGAATATAACTTAAAAGAAGGTTGAGAGACACTGGCATCTCTCAACTCTGATCCAAGAGTAAAGTCAATTTCGAAACAATATCTTCTGTTCTCAGTAGAAACCTGGCATCAAGCACGAAGACAAACCTAAATTTCACCATTGCTAACTTGAACAAACGGCAACATACGTTAATACTCTGAGGACACAAAGCGATATCAAAGTCCGAAAGCCGAACATTGCTGTACCACAAAGTAGAGTCTTCTGACTTGTCAACTACAGATTGAGGTTAGGTTTACCTTTGAAGAATTTATCAAAAATAGATTCAACTTAGAAAAGGAATTAAAAAACGAAAAATAGATATTTCGATTCAAAAGTTGGGATTATTGATTGATCTTGGAATATATAAATTTTAAAGGATTCAAAGTATTCATAATCCATTTTTCGAAGAAAAATTTTCATTGTTTAAAAGATCGCAAAAATTTTGAATATTTGTTTAACTATTTTTAAATTTCTTGTAATAATTTCTTTTATGAAAAAATCTTCATTTTTAGATATTTGTACAGTAATTTTCGATTATAATAAAATTTTATACAAAGATTTTAAATATTGAAGACAGAAAATAATAATGCACGATCGAAACTTTTGAACAGCGCTGTACATTCCCGGTTGACTTCTAAAGGACTGGCATACAATCGCTGGAAGTGGATACTGTATTCAGCCAGACGGCTGTCATCCAGCTGTACCCTGGCGATTAGGTAATATCCCCAAGCGATTGCAAACTGATCGGTTTACTGTTAGACATTAAACAAAATAGATATATTCTAGATCTGGGTGTGTTAGATACAAATGCTGGAAGCACTATAATCCGAAAGTCGGTCAATAGTCATTAAGTTGTATCTCGACACCTGTGCAATGACATTTTGGAAATTTTTTATTCATAATTTTTTTTTTAAATGCAAAATTATGAAATTAAAATATGAAGAACTTCTGAATATAACTTATATATTCGAATTTAAAGATTGCGATCTGAAGAATATCTAGGATTTCTGGAAATCACTATGAAATTCGAAACTCATTTTTAGAGATTTTTTAAAAAATTATCTATATACTATAAAAAAAATTTTCCAATCTTAATCAAATTTAAAATTATTTATATATTAAAATTCAAAATTTTCATTGCAGCTCCAATCACAAGAAGAATCATTCTCCATAATTTTTATCAGTGAAAAATCAAAATCCCTAGGAGATTCCTAGATAAATCTTTCCAAACAACTTACGATCTTTGAATCACACAACTTTTGAAGATTACTGTATATACATATAGATATGCAAAATTTAAACCTCAAGAGTTATACAGTTCCATAATTCCACCCACGCCAAGAATCATTTTCAAGTACCACCCTCCATCGCCCACGCAGCAAATTAAAATTCCTAAAGGAGAAGTTGTACAAATCTTTCTAAACCGGAAGCGGCAGCCACTGTCCAAACGTTCCATCACGTTGCACTGAAACGAGTGGTTAGTTAACCTTGACGATGAGACCTTTGATTACTGTCAAACACTACTGCCTACGTGTTCATTACAAGATTCGATTTCACGATGTTAAGATCAGGATTAACAACGAAGCATTTTGATACAAACTTTTATCCTAATATCAAAATTTTCGAAGAGATTTCGATTTTATGATTTTTTCACTATTCTTATAATTTTCTTTACTTAATTTCGTAATATCAATACAACAAAATTTCAAGATATAAAATGTAAAATTAGAGATAATTAGAGAATTATATATTCTCAATATCTCGTTTATATTTTCATTTATTTATATGTTATTACATATATCATATACTTATATAAAGATACCAATACTTCTGCTACTAAAGCTGAATGCAGAAAAAGAATAAAAGAGGTTAGAAAAAAAATATTCTCTTCCTCGAGATAATGCACTTTTCCAAAGTAATAAGAACGAATAAATTACACGACATGGAAATTAAGAAACTGGGCCTCGAGAACACGATTTCCTCTCGATTTTTCACCGTTTGGCCGGCCACTGGCAAAAGGTAACACACGTTCACGCGTCGATGGCCAGGTGTGCCGTGGCTCGCGGAGCTTCACCGACTGAGAAGGCTACGATGTGTTCCCTTCCTTCGTGAATCGCGTGGCCCCTTCCTTCGAACGCCTTTCTACGCCTTCATTTTCCACCGCACCTTTTCTTCTTACAGAGGGAGGCTGTGCTAACTGTAGCGGTGCTCAAGGACTGGCGGAGATCCGTGAATCGTAACGGATCGAAGGTCTTGGCCGGAATTTATTTTTTCATTCGATTTTACGTGAAGCATGTGAACATAGATAGCAAGCTTTACGATTTCTTTCTTTCTTTTTTATTTGTAAGTATATTTTGTGATAGGAAAAAGAATTATAGAATTGTTACGATTCTTTTAATATTAATATGAAATTTCTTAGATATAAAAATAAAAATATTAGATAATATTATTAATTTTTTTTTATTTGTTACAGCTCTTATTATTGTGATTTTTATTTATAATATTATTGAAGATGATTTTTTTCCTTTCAACGACACGATTAATTCTTTAGTCACAATTGATAATTAATTACTGGACTATAAATAAATTAATCACCAGTAACAAAATCATTACTAATATTATAATGGTTAAATTATAACTCACTTACTATTTTCCATATACTATATCTTCTATAAGGATAACAATGGATGCAAAATATTTAAAAATTTGCAACTCTATGCAATTCAAAAGGTAAATATAAAATATATATTTATATAAGCATATTTTGACGTATTTACGTTTATTCGAGGAATATGCATAATTTAGGGAGCGACGAACGGCAACAAACGAGCCATTGGGAGGGGGGGGGTCAAAGTTATTCACGCCGGTGTGTAGCTGCGGCCAAACAGCGGTGAAGCTAAGAAGTAACAGCGGTGGAGGTTTACGGCCGATGCCAGATTCGTGGTAAATCTTTGATGACTTTGCGGCGAACGGTGCTGCCACGACCAACCTATATTTGCCTTTTGTAATTCACGGAAGCGCATAATATCTTGCATTATCGCGTTAATTAGTCACCCTTTAATCCCCCTACACATTAATTTAGGGTATATATTTTATACCCTAGGAAACGCGAAATGTAAATTGTGGAATGTTCCGTTAATAATAATGGAAATTTGAAGAAGGTAATTTTGAATTTTATCGATATTCCATAATATTTTCTCTTAGGCAACTGAATATAATGCAAATATAAGATATAAGGTATGTAGTGTATAATATATATAATATTGAATGTTTTTCAGAAAAGCTAAAGAAGCTAAGAAAATTAAGAAAGTAATTATAATGCAAAGGATTGAATAAAATTGATATAAGATACATTGGAATATGTGATATTTTGTGACATTTTGGATTATATAATATATCAGATAATAATATACATTAAAGTACATCAAAGACTATAAATTTAAAAAAAAAAGGTTCAAAAGAAACGTGGAAATCAACTTTATGCTCGATCACAAAACATATCTTCCTCGAAGCAAAAATACCAAGAATCTCTTTCTCTCTTTCCAGGAAAGTGTATTCAAGTATTCTCGAGGAATCTCGTATGATTTACGATAAGAGAGAGAGAGAGAGAGAGAGAGAGAGAGAGAGAGAGAGAGAGAGAGAGAGAGAGACAGCAGAGTTGCCTACGAAACGACAAGGAAAATTATTTTCGTATCCGTCCCACTTTCAAGAACCAGTCAACGATTTACACTCCTGATACGTCGATTCCGTGGCCCTTGTGCGACAATGTACAACATCCCTCCATTCCTTAAAAATGGAAGCAACGAAAATGCATTCCGCCTCGGCGGAATGCGCGCATGTTGCATGGGAAACGGAGACACTGATTTCTCCTTTATTTCTGCTTCGTGGTGATATGTCTCGACAGAAATATCCCTTGTATTCGTGAACTTTGATATTCGTAGGTGGACGTATACGTATGTATCGTTTCGAATATCGAGATCTTTTTCTTTGTCAAGCAATCGTGCATCTCTTTTTTGAAGATCTTGAATTTGGTTTGGTTAGGTATATACAATTTCGAGTATATAAGATTTCTTTCTTTGGTAAGTAGTTGTACGAGACTCTCTTTTGTTGAAGATCTTGGGTTTGGTTAAATTAAATATGTATCATTTTTTTTTTCCTTTTTCGTTTGTCTCTTTTTCATCAAGATTTTAGGTTAGGTGAATTTCTTTCTTAAGGATTTTTTTTTTCAGTTTCAGGAATTAATGTGAACATGTAATCGGACACTAATGTATTCTTATGATTATTGATATATTATTTATTCTGTGAATTTGAAGATAGAATAAACCCAACGTGATCTTTGTGTGTCATAAAAGGAAACTAAAAGGAAGCCATCAATGAGTAATACTTGACAAATTTATGGAATATGCAATTATGGTATGAATATTAATAATTTTATGCAAAAAGAACAGGAATTATAAAATATATAAATGAGACTTAAAAATAAATGATACAAACTCATCAGTACTTCATATTTATCTCCAACGACGCTCAACCAAAAATTCAAAATTCTGTTTCTCGATGTTCTGAGAACGTGTACATTCGGTCCTTCGATAAATCATTTTGATTTTTAGAATTCGGTCATCAAACACATCTCAACCTGTCAAGATAAATTTCCATACATTGTCGATCCATAATTCTCTCACCTATTCCCATATTCGTCGTTCCTCGCGGCATAGAAACAGAAAGGCCGCTTCATCATCGAGATTGAATTTTTATGTCGTGCAAATATTTCTGATATTGCGTTTTTCGAATAAACTCACGTGCTATTTTTTTTTCATAGTTGGTCCGTCATTATTCGATAATATACTACATCGAACGATAGATCGATATCTGTCAGGAATAAATAAGTTCGATATGGGTCTAGATGACGGAATTGTGTTGGATGTGCCATTGTTCGAGAATTTTATTGATTTTTCATTAGTTTGTGGTTGGCTACGGTTAGAACAAGAATAGAATAGTATTGAGCTGCCTTTCTGAACTTCTGTCATTTTTTTTGTGGCGCGTGAAACTAAAATTTTTAAATTTTTCTTAAGAATTAAGAAGAAATATTATAAAGAAAAAAAATTGTACGAGATCAAACAATTTATTTTTAATTCAATTTACAGGTGTATCTGAACAAAGATTAATAAATAATTCAAAGTGTGGAAAAACGAAAGGCTTCATCGATATCCCCGGCAATTGTGTCAGAATTCGACGATATACACGCGTTAGCAACAAAATGGCGACAAGCTGAACTGATTTTATTCACGACCTTTGTCGCGGAAGTACTTTAGATGCGGGTGATGGGCCGCAGAGGAAAAATAGCGGAAAGTTTTCCATTTTAGATGGGCCACCGATAAAGGAAAGAGAGGCACGTATAATGGGACGTGTCTTCTCTACGATTCCACCTCAAGAACGATCTGCTTGCACTTCTATCTATAATTCATCCTCAGAAATCGTCCTCATACATTCAAAATTATTCCATTATTTTTTTCTATTTATTTCAATTTTCTTTCTACCATAATGCAACAGAGAAAAGAATTAGATATAAATAATATATGATTGATAATTTAGAGATAGTTAACAAAGATTAGAAAACAAATTTCTGTAGAAAGATTAGAATACAATAACTGGAAGCAATGTTTCGATTATTATTGGCTTATTTGTGAGACGAACAGTAGAGTAATTAGAATGGTTGATTAAGTCTTTAATAGATTCGATTGTTATTTGATTGAGAAATATAGATAATATATAGCTACCTAATATAGTCACAATTGTGTATTCATTCTCTTTGTAGGAAGTAATATTATATACATCTTCAAAAGGAGGAAAGCAGAATTAAATCATTAACATAATATTAGCTGTAAAACATTGCAGTTAGTTCCTGGCTTCTGTTATTATGAAGACACGTTTCAAAAGATAAATTCTATGGTTTAAACCACAGTGTGGATAAACTGAAATTAAATCAAGCTATTTTAATGATAAATTTGACTTCCATAACTGAACACTTCTGTATGCATTAATTCATAATCCGTAATTTTATCGGAAGCAAATAATAACGATCAATAAAAAAAAAAAAAATAAGTTCTGAAATTTTCGAAAGCTTTCATTTAACACGTTATTTTTACAGATATCGTCCCTTGTTTATCGTTCAACTTTTATAAATAAAGTTTTTTCGTGTCTCCAAAAATAGCAGAGGCAATTAAGGTAAGCAAAGCTGTTAGTTCACCTTTTGTACATATATATATACGCCTTTCCTAAAATCTCTTTTTAGCGGATTATCGTCGAGCACTATACTGCGTGCACAAAACTGTGTTATACTGAGAGAAGTTTCCTGTACAAATGCGTCGCTGGAAATTCGCCTCGTTAATAGACACATTCGCAGAAATGCGTTGTATCATTAAAGCAATTATCTTATATTGCTAATCCTATTATCGCCGTACTATTCCTAATGTATGCGAAGATATTTCCAAATTGCGACGATCATCCTTATATTGCTTGAAAATTTTCGCAAAAATGAATTTTAAATTTCGATTACAAATTTTAAAATATTGAAAAAGATAGACATATGTATGAAACACTTTATCATCCTCAATGTATTAATTTTTCTCTTGTTAATAAAATCTAACCTCAAGAATCTAACCTCAAAGATACAAGCGACTGATTTAAAAATGCATTTCATTAATTTACAAATAAAAATTGTTAAATCTTTATTAAAGAATAATCAAAAACATAATGCAAAATATAATTCAAAATTGAATTAACAAAATTTTTCTCTTAACATCTCTGAAAATCTAACTTCAAAAGCCACAAAATCTCAAAGGACTCTTTTCAAGATTCGACATATATGTACGAAGCATTTTTTCTCGACTGATATTTTTATTGACTTGTTCTTTCAATACGATAACCTTATCGTACCCAGTTTTCTTTCAGTTCTCATATGTTTCCACGTAAAACGTCCCACGTTCGAGGGTCTATAGTCTTCGAAGAATTATTTACGAGGATGCAGTGAACAAGGACGTAATAAACATCGAAGCCGATTACGGAACAGAAGTCGAAGGCGTGCCAATGGATGACGTTTCCTAGTCGAAACAATGGAACTGTTTCGTGGAAGGCTGTACCTGGAAGATTAGCGGAAAGAGGGTGTCGATGAAATTGGTCAGTCGAGTGGAACATTTCCTGAGATGATTTTCCATGAGAATTATGGGTACGGTTTCCATGGAATAATTAATTTTTATGAGAAAATTAGATATTTTAGAATATTGTATTTGTGATTTTGAATCAATTTTTTTTTAATAACTTTTAATATTCTAGGATTGAACTATATTATAATTTTAATGGGATAAATTTTCACAAGAATTTTCAATATTTTGTAATATTAAAATATCTATCTATTCAATATTCACACAAAGCCAAATAATATTCCAATACCCATACAATCTTTCTATTTCTAGAAATTTCCAATATTTAAATTTATAAATGCATGCATCCATCCATCTAGCACAGTACAATACTTCTCCAAAAATCTTAATTTCCCTATGTTTAGTTACGAAATCTTTTTACCGATCATCGGTAACCGATCAACAAGAAAGATATCTTCGCCATTAAAGAGTTAGACATGAATCGTGACTCTCGTAACTCTTTGAGCACAAGTTTTTCACGATCGTGAAACGAAAGTAAATATCATGTATATTTACGATCGTAGCACGAGAGAAGAAAGAGATATATGTATATTTTATACAACAGATTGGCATATTGATATTCCGGAACGACACAGATCTACGTGAACGAATTGGGAACTGATTGTTGATTCTTTTTTTTTGTACGTATTTCACTATATTCCTTCGTATTTCACTATATTCCTTCGTCAACAATTTACGATTAGATGCTAATATTCTGTTTGAATGTCTATTCAAATGTATTTTCTTCTAAGGAAGGATTTATATGAAGTTATGAGAATATATAAATAAGGTGAGTAATAAAAAATATATTAAATAGAAGACAAATTAAAATCATAAAGTAATATTCTTAAAATTGTAAGGTAACGAATTAAATTTCGTTTCAATTAAAACTAATGAGTTATCGTTTAAAAAATTGATTTGCCATAAAAGAAGATGAATTATTTTGTCATTTTTTTCTTTTTCTCCTATTATAAAAAGTTTCATATGTATTTCTTTTTTTTCTAAACAAGCTTTACATACATATACATTCCTTCACAAAATTTTTCAATTAGAAATTAACAATATTATTGCCTTTTTATTAATGATGTGCCATGATCCTCAACTCGTTAAAATCGGCAATTAAAATCCGAATCGTCGAAAATGGGAAAAGCGAAAAGAAACTCGATTTTCCTCGAATCGAAGAAAGGCAGAATCTGGATTAATTCGACGATCCTCCAATTTTTAAGAGTCAAGGGATAAATTACTTTCCTTTCCTCGTCAAATTGCCACGATCATTTCGGATTACAACGATTAATCGATGTTGGCGCGTATCCGTGGCTCGATGCAGTCGCGAAGGTCTGATCGTCGTTTCCTGAAAACGCTGCCTAATGCTCATCGATTAATCACCGATAATGGAGCGAACCAACTAATTGCTCGCAGCGCCACCCTCTATTTCTCTTTGCGTTCGATCGTTAGTGCACGTAAAAAGAGAAAGAAATTAGTCGAATCTCATCTTCGAGTTCAATAAGTTTGAGATTATCGAATCGTGTTCATTATTTTTCTTCATAATTAGATCCAATTTCCTTGTACTATATAATTTTCTCGATTTTTTTTTGTTCTTCGATCATGTTGGGAAGATTGTTAGTTCATGATCAAATAAAAATTTTGAGGTTAATGTATATTGTGTTATCAAATGTAACACAACAGAATTTATGTATTGGAATTGGAACATGTTGATTATCCAAAAAATAAATTGAATTTGTGAAAGCGTGTACAAGTCTCGACAAAAATTCTGAAAAATTGGAATCCTATAGGAGATGGAAATAAATCAGTTAAGTGGGCAGAAAGTTAACTATTGTTATTCTAAAGTTAACTACTTTATCCTTTCGAAACTAATAGGATGATACATTTCAAGTAACTTTTGCAAGTATAATAGGATTGTTAAAATTTTCCTAATATGATACAAAGTGTATTAGACCATAATTTAATTATAAATAGGATTACAATGGAATAACATATAGCATCATATTTAGTTACAGTCTGGGATTATACTTGTATAACTTGTTCATATTTTTGAATTGCTGTAATTATGAAGAAATTATTAATTTTATTAATTTTATTTTAATAATATTTTACAATGAAAAATGATATCTAAAAAGTCGATTCACAATGGATTAAAAAAAATCCTTTTCAAAAATATCTGAAGTTCGATCAATACACTATCAAAATTCTGATCTTAATGAGCAATTAACAATTTCGTTAAGCACAGTTGCACGACTAATTCCAACAACGTAACAAGCTCACTCGATGTCCCTTAATACCTCCAATTCATCGTTCGAATGGCGAATTGCCAAGGGATGCTGTTCCACTAACATCTCCGATCTTCCGGATCGTTATATCACGCTCAAAGCTTATTTTTGCTATTTCATTTGGGATAAAAAGTGTATGGAGAATAATTATGTTGGAACGAAATTATAAGATCGCGATGGTGAATTTTTGAAAGGAAGGAAATTCAATAGAATCATTGTGTTGAGAAAATATTTGAGGATGCTTTTTAATTAAAAGCTTCGACTTCGTAGTTCTCTCTTCTTTATTGATCAAATATTTGCGAATGTTGGCGTCTGATAACTTCTGACTAATAACTTGCTTAATCGTGACGAAAATCGAACGAAATAGAATTTCGAGTGGATTATAAATTAAAAAATTTTGTTAATCCTTACTTATATTCAATATTTAAAAATTTTTCTTCTGTTGGAAAATTTTTTAAATAAGAAGATTAATTAAGACTATTCATATACTTGATCAATTTTAAAATAAAAAAAGATATGATAATTAGAGAAGAATCATTCCTGTATCTGATTACTGAAGTTTACAATGAATGGACTGGTAATCAGTTTAACTTTTGAAATTTGTCAATTATATAACAACTTAATAAATGAAACATGTTCTTTGCTTACCAAATTCCAAGTCAATTAAGTTGTTATTGATGAGTACTCACCTGGAACAAAAAAAAAGAGAGACAAATATAAGTCAAATGAATTGGACAAAAATTCTCAATAAATATTTCAAATTGACTAACAAAAACATGCATGATTAATTTCGAATCAAAAATTAAAATTCAACATGAAAATGTGAAACATCAAAATCACATTACGGTTTCAACGACGTGCAACCATCATAGATGGCATTCTCGGCAATTCATTATTCTATCCTCCATATTGAAAACATCTCGTCTCTCTATTTTCTCATCTTTTTCAAAATGCATTTTAACATCTAAAATTCCACGTTATTTTCCATCTTCCAAATAAAATTGAAAAAAAACTCGTAATAATTTTTAATTGGAAAACTTTGTAGAGATAATAAAAATAATATTTTAACGTCGTATCAAAAAAGACAACAAATGATACAAATTTCAATTTTCACATATGTTTCAGCTCTTTGACCAAGGAGGACGATATTATCGCGGATGCGTGCACGATACACGATATTTACAATTTCTGATAATCCAATGGCATGTGAAATATCGTATGGATGGAAAAAAAATGGAATTAGGAGTCGTGTGAATTTGCATGCTATCGGAGAGGGGGAATGGAGGAAAAAGACAATGTTAAAAATACGGAATTCTTGTGCCGTGGGGACATTCAGTTCACGAATTCTTTTTTTTTTTCTTTTTTATTCGTATTTCGTTGGATGTTGCTGGTGTTTGTGCAGCTGGAAAACAGAACCTCCTCGACTGGGTGGTACTAAAAAAAGAAAGGGGACAGGAGGAAATATGGTTAAATATTGGGAATACGTTTATCTTCGAATGCGATTAAAAGTTTGATGAATGCTCTGCACCGAAGGGAGAGATTAAAGGGCGAATTTCGTGGTGTGTGTATATATATATATATATATATCTAATCCGGTGATGGACGTGGATAGTGCACTCGTGAAAGGGAAAAAAAGGATTGCTTGTCGATTAAATTGATGTGAACTGTTTTATCGTGGAATTTATGATTTTTTTTTTATTTATTTAAGTTTAATGGAAATTGTTTTAGAATTAAAATATGAATATAGAATTGGATGAATTAAGAAATATCTTGGACTTTAAGATTTTGAATCTTTTGAATATGGGATAAAGAGGAAATTGAATAAATTAATTCCAATTTTCTAAATATATTTGAACAAGAAAGAATTTATTTAAAAAAAAAAACTTCTAGTAATATTAGTAATATTATTGATACAATTGATTGTAATAAGATTATCAAAATTCTAATAATAAATTTTATAAATCATAAATGATTGTGAAGAAATTGAAAAGTAATTAGTAAATTGTCATTCTATGAATTATTCTGAAATTAATTAAAAGTATTCTGGAACAAGATGAAGAATTCAAAGAAAATTCTACCCACGATTCTATTTAAAAAAAATAAAACTTGCATGATCGTTAAAGAATTAAAGTACTCTTCAAACAATCAGCAGTAACAATAAAGAATAAAGAGTCGAACAGCAGCATCATTCATTCTACAATTAAACATTCTCACACAATATTTCTCCATCGTGGAAAACTGTCGAGCCCTCTCCAAACTCTTAATTTCCTCTGTCAACCATTATTAAACATCGACGAATTATTCAAATTATAAGGTGTACACTTTCGACATACACTCTTTAGCAAATATCCTACAAAAGCTGATTCATGATCGAATCGTATAAGCGAAAAAAAAAAAAAAACAATTGTTAAAAGAGAAAGAAAAAAAAAAAAAAGAAAAATAGAATTCCATTATGGACATGTTTGCTAATGGAATTTCCGTTCTGAATAAATTTCAACAACGAGCAGGTAGGGATACGCTGGATACAGTTTGGCCGACTAACAACGGCGCCATTTTGTCCGCATGTATTAAAAAAATATTCTCTCTCGTTAAAATAAAGAGCAATATTTTACAGCCTTTTTTTTATCCCCCTCCCTCCTCTCTTTTTAACGTTCTTTTTTTTTTTTTTGTTTCAGTCGTACCACATCTTTCCACGTAACGTGGCGCTTTAATGGATTTTTTTAGGGGACTTCCGGTATTAAATGAACGTCGTTAATGGCTCCATATTCGGTTTTTTTTCCTTTCGAAGAACGGAAGAAAAAGTTTAATATTGTAAAGTTACGTTGCACCGAAGTTTTGTGGATTCGGCAAATTGGTTTGATAGATCGTGTTGGTGAGTATCGAGTTTTTTTTTTTTTTTTTTAGGACACCAGTGTCCTAAATTTATAATTGTGATCCATTATGACGTTTTCTTCTTTCTCGTTTCACAAATCGATTTCGTTGTCGCTTTGATTCTTTTGGGGAAATGGAACATTTGTCAAGATGTCTGCTTTCTTCTTCGATGTAATTGTAAAATTAAAAAGTGTTATTAATGTTATTATGAATAAATAAAGTAAGTCATTTATATATTTACATTTACATTTTTAAATCCTCGATATTTGAAATTGATTTCAGTGATGTTCCTGGATAAATATCATAAATATCATCAAATTGTAACCATCGATTATCCAAGTACATAGTTATAGAAATTGGTAAAAATAAATCCAATTAAATGGACAGAAAGTTAACCGACCATTATTGTATATTTCGATGAAAAATATCGAACCTTTGAATTTTTACAAAAGGAAACGATATATCGAATTAAAAAATCAAAAAAAAAAAAAGCAATTTTTTTCAAAACATAAAATCAAATGAAAAAATATCCCCGGGGAAAAAATATCAAAATCTTTCTTTTAAATTTTTCAAAAGGAGAAACAATATCGAGTTATTAAAAATTAAAAAAAAAAAAAGAAAAAAGAGACAACGATTCTTTTGAATTGCATCATAACAAATAAAAAAATACTTTGAAAACGAGACGTCTCCATTCCTCGTGGAATGAGGCGGCAGAGATAAAAAGAGAGCGCGGATTGTGCGAAAAGAAAAGTTTGAGAAAGAGTTGGCCGGGTGGTACTTAACATCCGACGACTTGAAAACGCGCGTTTATCTATCCAGCCTTTGGTGGCCGCGAGAGGTTCCTTTTATCGCTAGGCGCGACCGGAAGTGGTGACATCGAGGGGGCAAAAAAGACGGAAATGCATAGAGACGCCAGGGGTAAGACGGTGCACACGAGGTGGTTGGCCAACTAAAGAGCCTGGAGTATCAAGTTTTAACGAGATGTGTTCGGAGACTTTATGACTACGAGGTACTCGGCAGACATAAAGAGCCGTGTACGACGAAAGCGCGTTTTTCCATTCCACCGAGGAAAATTGGTAGAGAGGAAAAGGTTTGAAGAAGTGTGTCGGTCAATGGGTTACCGACCGAGTCACCGGTTAAATGGGCTAATGAGTAAGCAAATGACTGAGAAAGTAAGATGTTGATATTGAAGACGAGTCGCTTCAAGAATATGGTAATTAAGCACGAGTAGATAATTATGTATAGGTGAACCAGTGAAGAAGAATTTTTATGAATAATTGTTGTCGGAGTTAATAAAATGGTTGAGTTAGTGAACGAGTTGAATTGATAAATTACAGAGTGATTAAGTGAATGAGTTAGTAACCTATCAATGATCTAATTATTAAGTGAGAAAACTAATAAGTTGTTGAGTTAGTTGTTGAATGGATAAACTAACAAATGAATTGGTAAATGATTGATCTGATAAATAGAAATTGAATTGATAGTGAGTGAATATTGTTAACCTATTAAATACCTAAATCAATAAGTAATCTAGTTATTAAATTAACAAGTGAATAAATGAGTGAATTACTGATATAATAAAACAATAGATTAATAAATGGACGATATAACAAATCACTTACATAATCCATAACAGATTAAGTTTGCAAGTGAGTGAATAAATTAATGCATCAAGTAAAATTACATAAAATACATAATCAGTATTCCGCTTCATAAATGAATAAGTGAAATAAAGAATTGGATCATAAATAAATAATCGTTCAATACATATTATTGAATCCAATATAACGAAGAAATGGAAATAAAATAAAAATGATTACAGCAGCGTCACTCTCGTCGCGAAAATGAAGAGTGAAATTGTTGCGGTCGATCGAGAGCGAAACGATTCGTTTCGATTGGCATCGTTGTTGTGTAGTAACAAAATAATTGCGGGATTCTGTGAGTGCCGCGCCTCTTGTCCCAAGATTTGTATAAAAATCGTTCGTTCCAGTGACGAGCACCACCGTGATTCCAATAGAGAGACTGTTAAAAAAGAAAAAGAAACTATGTGATGTTTAACCATCGATTGCATTGCCTCTTTTTATTCTCTACTCGAGTTTTATAGACACCAACAGCTTCTCTTGGGATTTTATTCGAATAATTCAACACTCGTGGCCAATATCGAACTAATTAACGTAACGAGCGAGATAAATAATCCGCGCATTGCGTGTATTACGATAATTATCCATGTTAAATTTTTCCTGGATGCTTTCGTGAATGAGTTTTGCAAATTGGTAACGATAAATAATAGGTTAGGAAAATATGATTTCAAAAAAACTAATAAGAATAAATAATGAAAATTCTCGATATTCTTGATCTCAATCGTATAATCTTTTTTCATAACCTCCAAAAGTTATAATATTGATGGACTCGGTTAACCTAGACACTCCAGTGAATTTTAATATTCAGATTTAATCTAATATTAGAAGACGAATAAGCAGATAATTTTATTAAACATTTTTCACTGTTTAAACAATTTAACATAAAAAAGAAAGTAGAATCCAAAAAATTAATCAATAGAGAATTTTCTCCTATGAATTTGCTAAAATTTAACACTTTACTCTACTAAAAATCTGCATTACGTCGCATAATTTTTTTTTTTGTATCTGTATACTTTTCAAAAAATAATCTTTCAAACATTCTCGTGTATTTACGAGGCGATTAAAAATCATTCTATGCGATCGTTTCGAGTGAAATTAATAGTAATAATTGCCAGATGGGACGAGATGGACACGGATGAATAAAAGATGAAATTAAAGCGGACGAACAGGCTGATGGGCAAGTTTCGACTGGAAAATTTTACTCTTTTCTATCCCTTTCTATTTATTAACGCACGGTTCAACGATATCTTCGAGTGGCCATAAATCTTCAAGTAGTTGCCTGTTACCAAGATAATGAAGGAAATGAGAAGAATTTTCAGCGAACGAGAAACGATATATATCGCAGAACTTGTTTGCATTTTTCGTGGAAAGCCATGTAAAAAAAGAAAAAAGAAAAAAAGCGGCAGCAATCGAAATGCAATTATTGCTAGTATCGATATATATATATAGCTACAGGAATTGAACTTTATTTTTATAAAATAAAAATAACGAATATAAAGATTGAATAATTCAGATAAAATAAAAAAATAAATTATCTTCAAATAATAATAAAAAATAAAAGATAACGAATAATATTTTGGTTTAAAAATATCAATATATAATAATTATTTAAGGATTTTTTTTTACGATTATTATAAGGTATATATAAAAAATCTTTAATTATTTTAAACTTTCTCAATTTTTATTCTAAAATTTGTTGAAACTTTTTTTTTAGAAAAACAAAAAAGGAAATAAAGAAAGAAGAGTGGAAAAGATGAAAATTACGTGGAATATTTTCCACACGAAGTCCACGTAAGTATCATAATATTCCATCGCATAACTCTTTTAATTCGAAGATAAAGGGTATCCTCGAGGACGTGAAATGCACGAGAACAAAAATTCACCGTGGAAAAATTGTTATTCCTGGATAATTCAACGGGAAATGAAGCGGACGCTTCTCGAACAAAATCTCGAGCGCGATTCCATACACTTTTATTTCTTCCCTTGGAAAAACGTGCAGGATTAAGCTTTTTCCTTCGAAAATGATTACTTGTGAAGGAAGCTGTTTTACATTTAAATCAAACCAGCCTGTCTTGAAATCAATTCGGAGCTGTGGTATGGTTTTACAATTTAAATATCCCGCCAGAAGAAATAAAGAAGGCTTATCAAGTATCACGTCTGCCACAGTTTAACTTATCCTTGCTCGATATCACGTGAATTGAGCTTATCGCGATTATCTTTCCTTTGGAAAATTGATCATTTGTCGTGTAAGTGAATATAAGATATTTAAAACATTTTCTTTGCTTTTTCACTGAAGATTTTTAATTATTTTTAACTATTTTAATTATTTTTATTAAAGATAATGATTATTTCTTTTTATTTTGTTTCAGGTAAGAAAATTGAGAGGTTTATTTTGAATAAAGATGTTGATTTTTAGTACAGTAATTATATTTTTTTGAAAAACTAGTTACTTATATAAATTGAATATAAGGATATTTTTGTATTGCTGTAATTTTGGGAAAAAATTATGGTATGACAATCAATCAAAGTTTATTTTAAGAAGCAAAGCATTTAATTTCACGTGTCTCGATTAAATTTTCTCTGATGATTCTTTCATATTAAAAGAATGGAGTGGAAAGAATCGAAAATAGTTTCTTATCTTAAAAATTTTATAAATTCATATGATTCTACGATTAATAAATAGTTTGTACAATTTGCATTGTACTGAGTTTTTAAAGCTAAGCTTCTACTTTATAATGAATTCTTAAAAATTGAAAATAAGATTTTTTTTTCATTGCTATATCACATCTTGAATGAAAAGTGAACTTGAAGAATGGAAAAAAAATCGTATAATAATTTTTGAGAGTTCAATATAAAAAGAAGATTTCCTTTTAAAAAATCATTATAAAATGAAGCGCGTGGAAAATTTATTAGAGTCTCTAAAGTAGATTGAACTTAAAATTGTGAAATTTTTAAGAAAAGACAATCTTCAATTTTCCATCTCATTTTTTAATATGAAACAAATATGTGGGAAAAATTTAACCAAGATATGTAAAAACAGAGGTTTTATTTTTTAAAATGATTGATTATTATAAGATATTTATTTCCAAAGTTACAGCAATTTAAAGATTGACAATTTTTGAATTGCTGTAACTTTAGAATGAAATATCTTACACTAATTATTCTCAGCTTATTTCAAAGAGCAAACTTCTGATTTTCAGATATTTAATTGAATTTTTTCTAAGTCTTTTTTTATATTAAAAAACGAAGTGCAAAAACAAAGGTAATTTTTTTTTTTAATAATTTTACACTTTCATCGATTCTACAAAAATTAATTGATTTTTTTTCGCAATTAGTTTTATAATGATTTTTCAGAGCAAAGTTTCTACTTTATAATAAGACCTTAAAAGTTGACCTACGACTTTTTTTCGTTGCTGTATCACGTCTTGAATAAAAAGTGAACTTGAAGAATAAAAAAAAAATCGTATAATAATTTTTGAGAGCTCATTATAAAGAAGAAACTTCTCTTCAAAAGCTTATTGCAAAATAAAATTCGTAGAAAGTTTATTAAGCTTGTTAGAATCGACTGAAGTTATAAAATTTAGAAAAAAA